TTCTCTACCTTTTGCATTCTTAATAAATCAAAGTGAAGAATATATAAATTGGGCGTCGCTTGGTTAGCTCGTTCGCAGTTAGTATTTGGTAGCCAACGGTGCCTCACAGGTGTGTGCAAAGAGTCGCAGACAGTACGAGTGCAAGCTTTGGTCGTTACAAATCTATCTTGAAAAAGGCAAAGAGATAAATAGTTGCTTACGTCTTGGATAACATTTGGATTACACACACGCACACATACGCACACAAAGAGACAGAGAGAGAGAGAGAGAGAGAGCCAAAAAGGATTACTATGCTCTCCAGTTGTTATTAAGTGTTGTGATAAAAGTGATATAGCTATACATATACATATATATAGAAATATATACAACTGAACAATCTGTGCAAGTTAACCATCATGTGGAAGCTAATATCTGTAGTGGTGCTCCTGGTTGCCGGCTGCAGCGCGGGACCCCTTAGCCAACAGGTGGGTGTTTGGTTTTGGATTTGGATTCGATTAGGCTGCAAGTAGTGGCAGACGACTTCCGTTAGCAAACGGAAATCGAAACGGGCAACGGAAAACTGTTAATGAAATGTGTTCGCCTTGCCTTGCCAAGGCATAGTCAGAAATTTTTAATGGCAACGCGACTTCAACTCCCAGTTGTCTTAGTCATTCCAGAAGTCTGTCTGTCTGCCGCCGCCTCCTCCTCCTCCTCTTCCTCCTTCTCTTCTTCGACATTTTGCCATTTGCATAAGACTAGTTGGTATGCCAAACGTTTAGCCTTTTAACGGCTAAATGCAGCCGAAGAGTCCAACAGCCGCAGAGCAGAAGAGCAAAAGAAGTGCCAAAGTATTTATAGACAGCTGCAGGCTCGTTACGTTTATGGCAGACACGCTCTAAGATTGGCAACACTCGATCAGCCAGGCGAATTCCATAACAATATTCCAGAATAAATAAGTGTAATATGTTTTGGATGTAGATATAAATAGATATGCCAAAAATATATGCATATATGATAACGCAAGGCACGAAGATATAATATGAATAAATACCATATGAATGGAGCTGAAAGAACAAAGAGTTGAGGCATAGAGAGACTTAAGATTTGCATGATTTCAAAACTATATCAATATATATCACATTAAATTCATGATTACGAAAAGAGAAAGATATAAAGCTAAGGTATTTATATTTTATCCAGCGATTTCATAAGCCGTGCGCCTGCGTGACTGAAAGCCGAAAACTGATTAAAATGCATAGCTCCAATCGAAATATAAATAATATATCGATATGGTTAAAAATATGATGTGATAACATGCGAGCGTATGGAAAGTAATTTCAATTGCAGCGTTGACCCTAAATGGTTTCCCGCCAGGTGCGAACTGCAAACGCATTTGGTTAGCAGCTTCGTTAGGGGCTTAGTGCATAGTTTTCACTTAACGCCAAAAAACTAGAACACAAGTGAAATTTTTTTTTGGTCGATTTCAATACGAATCGCCTAGCTCGCTCGATTGAGCTGAGCGCTTCAGGCCCGAGTCATGTCACGTGCTTGATTCGATATTGAGGATTTGCGCATGCGTGGCACGTAGTCCGTTAGCTGAATGGTCTTAAGTGTCTTAATGCTTGCGCTCGTAACTCTTTTGCAGCGAAAGAATATGCCCATTATGGCACGCGAGGATACGGCAACAGCTGTCGAGCAGGAGTCGGACATGCAGATGGAGGCTGCCGAGGAGATGCCAGCTGCGGAGGCAACTCCCCTCGTTGGCACTCTGACGCTGCCCAGCAATGCGACCTCGATACGAGCCGACATCACGGACAACTTTTCGTGCGCCAACAAGAGCTACGGCTACTATGCCGATGTGGAGAACGATTGCCAGATCTTCCACGTGTGCCTGCCCGTGACCTATGCCGACGGCAAGGAGAACACCTTCCGCTGGAGCTTCATCTGCCCCGAGGAGACGATCTTCAGTCAGGTAAGCGAGTCGCCAGCTGTTCGAGTGAAGGGAAAATAAAAGATTTCCTTGCAGGAGTCCTTCACTTGCATGCGTCGCGAGGACATGACCATCGAGTGCGAGGAAAGCTACAGATACTACGAATTGAACAGCAACTTTGGTCTGCCTGCAGAGGAGGAGAAGTCGCCAGCATCAGCAGCGGCAGCAGCAGCAACGTCTCCAGCTGAGCCTCAGCAAGCCGAGCAAGAGAAACCTCAACCTGAGGAGAGCGAAATGAATGCTCCTGCTCAGTCAGCTGCAGCTGCTCCGGAGCCGGCAATGGAGCCAGTGAAGCCAGTGAAGGTGCAAAAGCCCAAGCCGAAGCCCAACCGCCGCAAGCCCGCCGTCACCTACAACAAGCCGCAGAGGAAAGTGCCTGTGGTGGTCACAGAAGCGCCCATAACTCCAGCTGTGGAGGCCGAGGAACCTGAAGTCCAAACCGTGGCAGTGGTTCAACAGGCGGCCAAGCCTTCGAAGCCGCATCGCTTTATCAATAGACCCAGCAACAAGGAGAGGCCGCAGCCCGCTAAGCCAGCAGCACCTGCGCCTGCGCCTGCCGCGCCCATACGCAATGAGTTGTTCAACTCCATACGCAAGCGTCCGGCCATGTTCAACAAGAACAGCATCTCGAGCACTGCGAGACCCGTGATGGAGAGCGAACCGGCCGTGACGGAAGCTATTGTGCAAGCTGAGTTGAATGAGCCGATGCCCACGCTGAAGCTGCAGACGATGTTCGTGGAGGCAGCTCCTCCCGCTCCTGCCGTTACTGCAGCTCCTGCACCTGTTGCTGAGCAGGCGGCAGAGCCGGTTGGCGAGGCATCTGAGCCAGTTGTAGCCATAGCCGAGCCTGAGCCGGTGCCCGAGCAGGCAGCCGAGCAGATAAATGCAGAAGAAACAGCGGAGCAAGCGATTCCCACAAAGCCAGAGGAGGACAAAGTGCAGCCCATCGAAGCCATTCCAGAGATACCCGCTGTCATCGTGGAGACCTTGGAGGAAAAGCCAGAAGAAACGGAAGCCATCAAACCAGCTGCTGAAGAGCAACAGCAGCAGATGGTGGACTCTCCCATGGTGCCAGCGATTGTTGAGCCAAGCCAGTCCAACGAGGAAACTGTGAACCTTGAAGCCATGGAGGCAGCTAAGCCCGCTGATGCGCCTGTCAGTCTGCCAGCCACGCCTGCCATGGAGCATCCCAGTCCCCTGGTGGAGGAGATGTTGAATAACAAAAATGAGGCACAAGAATCGCTTGGCGGCTTCAAGCCCGTCGATCCCGTTATGGCAGCTGAGGCGGAACAGCTGATCACTGACTTTTTGAATACGCTGCGCAAGCACGAGGAAGCAACTAAAACTAAAACTAAACCTGAAACCGAGACAGAGACAGACACAGAGACTGAGCTGACCAATGCGGCCATGGACATGGCCGAAACCATTGAGCAGCAGCCACAAATCCAAGAGAGTGAAACGAAGCCAGCAGCTGAGCAACTGCAGCAGGCTGAAACCGATGCAGCGGCCGTTTCCATCGAGGAGGCCAAGCTGCCCGAGCCAGACGCTGTTGATAACAATGCCTCAGTGGAGGAGCAGGTGCTAGAAGCGGAGCCAGAGCAGCAAGCGGAACCCAAATTGAAACTGAAACAGGATTCGCCCATTATTAATATCATGCAGCTCAATCATTTGCCCGCCGACTATCAAATACCCGTGCAGGTGGTTGCTGAGCCAGAGCCGGAGCCGCAGCCAGAGCCAGAGCAACCCGAGTCAGCGCCAGAGCCCGTGCCAGAAGCTGTTGAGGAGCCGGCTAAGGAAGTGGAAATTCAGTCGCCAGCTGAGCCAGCGGAGCCAGCTGTTCAAGATGATGCCCAGGAGAATCTGCCCGCGGCTGCCTATATGCCAGGCATTAGCATCGACGACATTGTGGAGCTGGTAAAGGAGCGACTGGATCAGAATCCCAAGAATCAACCAATGGCGCCCATGGAACTGGTGCTAACACCAGGCGCTGCTGAGCCCATGACATTGATTCAAAGCAAGCCAGAGGAGGTGGAAAAAGAAGAGCCTGCAGAGCTCGCAGCAGAGCCCGCAGCAGAGCCCGCAGCAGAGCCCGCTGTAGAGATGGCGCCTGCTGCACCGCTCATTGCTGAGCCGGCGCCAGCTGCAGCCGAGGAAGAGGAAGTCATTCTGCCCATATACAAGCGCGTTTCGGAAGCGGATCCAGCCATGTCCGTAGTGCAAACGCAGCCCCTGACTGTGAGCAAAGTGGAGGCGGAGGCGACACCTCAGCAGGAGGAGGCGACAGCTGCAGTGCCGGAGGTGCGAGAGCCCAAGACTCCATCGCGAATGGATGCACGCAAACGTCGCTTTCTCTTTCGTGCCGATGCCAGCTAGAGAAATTACCCACCAGCCACGCTCTACCCCGGAGCACCACACCCGCCCACAACATCAAGCCTCTCGCAGCGCCTCCCTCCACTCATTTGCACCTAGGCACCTATGACTTTTTCAATTATTTCCTAGTTTTATGGCCATTTCTTTCTGCATAGAGAGTTGAAATTTAAGTTTAGCATTGTTGCATCCTTGAAAAAAAAAAACAAACGTGACAAAAAAAAATTGAAAAACCTTTGAATAAAAAAAATATTGAAAAACAAATAACAGGTATGTATCGATTCTTATTTGACTCGAGTCTCATGTATCCAATATGGGTTAGCGAGCTCCATCGTGCACAGGTTTGAGTGTTTGTGTTTGCCTAGTCGCATTCAGCCTTTGAACGGTAGAGATGGCCAACTGAAAAGCGACCTAACTGAAAGCGAATCAAGGGAACTAGGCCAATAGGCGAGAGTCTTGTAGAAATAATTTTCAAGAGTCTTTGAAGTAATCTTAGTGCTTGCATACAATCAAAGCTCGTATATATGAAGATGGATCTCTTTAATATTTACATTTTCGCATACATTCATGCAATCATACATAGAGAGATAGACAGTTTGAAAACGTTGTATATTTTGTTTACCATTTTTATGCAAATGTAATTTAATTTAATTTATATTAATTCACGTAGAAAATCGTTTCGTATTTTCACTTGCTTACATTTGCCTTATGCTTAGGCTTTGGGTAATTAGCTGTATGAGGCAACTACCGGGTGAGAGAACTACAGCGTAACAGCAGCATCTGCAGCCGCTGGACGATAAGTAACTTTGACAATCACAATGGACAACGGTATACTGGAGTCACAAGAGACAGTACACGCACATACACATATATATACACATACACATACACATATACATATATGCATATGCTATGCCTCCGTCTCCTGCTCCAGTTCGCCGGCTTGGATCTCCTCGGGTGTGCGCAGATCGATGGCAAATTTATGCCTGGTTGGCGTTATGGTATCACTGGGCGTGGCACTAGCATTGGCGTCCTGCTCATCGTTGGCTGCCTCCTTGACGACGCGCGAGTAATCCTGAAAGGCGGCAGACAGGGCAAAGGTCAACTTGCGCGCCATGGCCCGGCTGTCGCAAACAAAGGCGTGCACCTCGAACGGATGCGGGCTAGACTCATCCTTGACCACAATCATGGCAAAGACGCGCGTATAGACCAAGTCCTGCACTCCATATGAGATCGTATCGATCGGGTAGCTCCAGTTATTGATGCTCGCCTTCGGTGAGATGATCTCCACTTGAACGCCCGATGTGGACACCTTCAGTTCGCAGTTGGGCAACACTTTGTTGGGCGGCAAATTCTTAGCCACGCCCACCATCAAGTCAACTGGCCTGCGTGTGTATTTAATGCCCCACAGACCACGCGCCGCCTCCGAGCCAATGTATTTAACCTGCAAAAGCGAAACATATGAACAAGGTAGAACGGGAACTGGAGTTGCCGGAGCTGGAGCTGGAGCTGAAGCTGGCGCTACTTCCGGTCTGAGTCGCCGTTAGCTGTTAGCTGCTGGCAAACTCTCTGAACTGTCGCCTCATTTGCATCCGACCCGAACCGGATGTCAGCGCTGTCCACCAACCACACACAAACACACCGCCAAAATTCACAATGTCCAGCCAAGCGAGACGAAAGTGCGTATTTATTTGTCTGGCTAAGTTTTATTCAGATGCACTGTACAAAAATTGTGGTTCCAGAGTTTTATGAATAAATGGGTATCATTGGAATTGAATTTTGATATGGAAAAATGTGGAATATTTACAGCTTTTCTTTTTGAAGGCAAGCATGGAAGATAGAAATATTTTTTTTTAATATTTTATTTATTTATTTATTTTTTTTTTCTGAGTAATGAGATGACTGAGCGGTAATTAAAATATTTATAATACATTTTTGTATAAAACTGGACAAAGATTATACAAGAAAATCAAAATAATAATTGAGATCTTGCTTTAAACCATAGAAAGTTTAATGAGAAAATATTGAAAATTATAATCGAAAATTTTCAGAAATTAAAAAAATTCAGATTGATCTGCTTGCTTAAACTTCTAATCAGCTCTCAGCTAATTCCACTTCAATCGTTAAAACTAGTTAGTTTCAAATACTAAGTTTACCCAATTTTAGGCAAAGTCAATTCGAACCATATAATTTCGTGCAGTATACATTGCAGGTTAGGTATGTGGCGGCGGGTGTTAGTCGTCGGTTAAGCGCTTAATCCATGCGCGTTGAACTTCACATTTAAATTTATGGGAATTTAGCAATGAGTTGTTTTTTTACATTTTTTTTTTTTTACTTGTTGCTGTTGTATGTGAAATGCTGCGCTCTGTTTGCGGCACTTGTTTTGTATTTGAGAGCTGAAAGACTAACCTTGAAGCTTATTGGCAAATCCTCCACATTCACTTGAGTATCCAAATCACTGGGATGATTGTTGTTGTTGTTGCTGCTTGCAGCTCCATTGCCGGTGGCCATAGTTTCGAGTCAACTTCAGTTCTGCGTAAGCTGCAATAAATATGCCTATTTGTAGTTGAATACCTTGGGCATGGCCTCTACTTTTATCTCCACACAGTTATTCCCCTTACAACGGGGCGTATCTTTAGTTATTACCTAACTTATCTTCATATTTTCATGGTTCACTTTGCCTAACTGTGATGTGCTGCTCGTGCTTTGGCAGTTCTCAAAATTTCTACTATTCTACGGCTCTGTTGTCCCTGCTTTTGCCTCTGTTGCTGTTGCTGTTGCTGTTGTTGCCGGCTGTCAACTGCGACTGACGTCAACAGGCAGCAACAACATCCAAATTTGTTGTGTGCACAACTGAGCCCAGGTAGAGGTGAGCAGCCACTGAAGGTGGCTTGGCTGGCGGTGGTAGTGGTGGTGGCAATCGTGGTGAAGGTGTAGGTGGACTGACCAGTTGCCAAGCCCATTGCGCATTGACTGCTCATTGTGTCTCTTTCTATTGTGCATGATCTACTCTCTCTACCCCTCTCTCCCTTTCTCCTCCACTGTTTGCATTGCTTATTGTTCAGCTGTCTCCCTCTCGGTGCTCCTGTGTCTATTACTGATCAGTCTCTCTCTCTCATTGACTTTGTATTAGTTTCTTCTTCCTCTATCTCTCCGTCGCTTCTCTCTTTCTCTCTCTCTCGCTCTCCGTCTCTGACTCTCTGACCCGTTTTCCCTCTCTCTCTCTCTTTCTTTGTGTGTCTCCCTCTCTCTAACACTTTTTCTATCTCACCCCCTCTTTTTCATTGTCTCTCTCTCTATCTCGTATACTATCTCTATTTCACCCTCTCTCCGTTGTTCTCTTACAGCTGCATTCTCACAATCTTTATTACTGGGTCTGTCTCTTTTTATTGCAGTCTCACTCTTTGTCGCCTTTTGTCTTCTCTCTCTCTCTCTCTTTCTTTCTCAATCGCCTCAGAGAAACACAATAACTTAAACAACAATAACAACATTAATAGTTCTAACAATATTAAAAATAACATTAACAACAACAACATGTATTCTACATTCAGTTTTGTTGGCCTTAAAGGTCTGGCGTTTTGAACAGTTACAATTTCGATAAGGTTTCTGGGGCGACAAAAAAGGAATAAAGATAAGACAAAGAACTCTTCGAAAAATGTACGACTTGAGATATATATAAGAATTACGAATACGTGAAAATATTTTCTATTTAAAATAAATCTATTTATATTTTATTTTGTATTTATTTTATGATAGCGAAGGTCGCATAATATAGATTATAAAGATATCATATCAACATTTCGATATATATACTATATATAAATCAATACATATATGTCGAAATTTATCAATACGAGAGTCTACAGATAGAGTATGTAACATTCGATCTTTTGCCTAGTTTCTCTCAGCTTGTATCTTATGCACTTGAACTGAAATCCGTTGTTGTCTTTGCACTTGTTATTGGGATTACCTATGTTGTTGCTCTTGTTATTGTTATTTATTAAAAATGCATTATTAATACTTCCGCTGGCTTCGAGCGTTAGCTGTGAAAGCTGTGCAGCTGATAGCGGGAGACAGCAGCAGCAACGGCAACAATGAAAGCAATAGCAACAAAAACAACAACAGCAACGACAACAATTGCATGCATTTATATAGCCAGTTAATGAGCAGGTAGATAAAAAAAAAAAAACAACAACAAAAATAACAAAAAAAGAAGCAAAACTGTAACGAACGAATTGTTTTTATTGCAGTTGATTTGCCGCTGGCCCCACATGACGTCACAATTTGAGCTTATGTTTAAATAGACTGACACATACACACACATATACATATATGTATGTATATATGTAGTACATAGCTGTAGTTTGCGCTTGAGTCTACATTAATGGCCAACGACCTGGTGTGACAAGTGCGAACCTAATTGCAGCTTGGGGAATACGCATAGCAGAGTTCTCTGAGTTGTCATATTTTCTGCTTTTTTTTTATTGTGTAAAACTTTATTTATGAGTTATTTTAGTTGTTTTCTTTCCCTTTATGAGCTATTTTAATATTTTTCTATTTCTTTTTTTGTTAACTATTTCTCGCGTTGGGAACTGGCTCAACAGTGGCTCTAGGTAGAAGGCTATAAATAGAGCTATTCAGTAGTCGAAAAGTTTTGGATCATGTGTTAGAGGTACAGTGAAGCCTTGAGTTAAGAGTGCAAATTATATTTATTTACTATAAAATTTGTATACAAATTTGTTATATAAATAGATTTGCTAATAATTCATTGCAAATTTTCGTATCATTATTAGTTTTAAGGCCTCTCTTAAGGCCTCCAAAACATGGATGTATTTTATATTAATCATAATTTAATAAAATTCAGTAAATACTCAATACAAATAATTTCTTATGATAAAATTTAATTATGTAAATAGCTTTTATTTATTTTTTTTAAAATTAATTCTTCACCCAATTTAAATGTAAAATTGATTACATGATTTTCAAAAACCTCTCACACTATAACGATCGTCCACTGTATTTCACTGTCGATTTAATCTGAGGCGCGCACAAAAATGAAATTATTTCCGATTTATGTTCGTAATAATTTCTATGTAATTTGATGGGATTGATGGTTGTTATTGTTGTTGATATGGTTGCTGTTATTGTTGTTGCTTTTGTTGTTGTTGTGGCGCTGCGCTTCGATTCCGCAAGCCGAATGTTTGTTTGTTTGTTTTGTTTGTAGTTTTATAATGCCGCAGCAAAACTTCAAGCTGATTGATTGTTATAAATGTATATAGATCTATATATATATCATGATCATAATATATAAATATTTGTATATGAGCCCATATGACAATGGCAACATGATAATGCGTTGCAAGCCYGAAAACCGTAACCTAATTTATATATAATTTTTCCACTGGCATATTTCTGTATTTTTTTTTAAATGGTTGTCAGAGCGGAAGCTGCTCATATGAGCATATCTCCTATTACATTTAAGTAATTTTATCTATGTACAGTGAGCACACATGGGAGTGAAAACAGTTGAACTGGAAGAGCTGTTGAGCTGTATAAAGAATTGTCGAATTCGTTTTTAGAAATTAAATATGATGTAAACGAGGTTACAGTGAGCATCCATATGAGAGAACTGTGAATAACCTCCTAGTGTTCATTAAGTGTGTTTTACTATACTCATTTTGTCTACTTACAATTAAAAAATTTGATCTAATGGTAGCGAAAGCACTTGGTGGGAAATCCCTTAGTTACTCTGTTAGTCTGGTCATAAAAATGTGAAATATATTGTTAAACTAATTAATTCATCAATAGAGTTTTCACTGTACACTTGAGACATTAAAATTGGCCAAAAAAAAATCAACAAGAATAATCCATTTTTAATATCATTCTCCATTTTATATAAACATTCTATACATATTTTTAATATCTTTTTAATGACCGTTCTTCTTCAGTTTGAGTGCCCACTGTAGCGCATCGTTTGTATACACACGATATGATATGTGCATGTAATTGCTATATTGTCTAGTTGATTGTTATATTGACATTTCGTTATATTGACTGTGTCTTACGGTTATTTACATTAAAGTTAAATTTAATGACTAATTCGATTTAGCCAACAGTGAATTGTCTTTTACAAACTCTCCTTATCACACACTGTCGCGCTTTTGGGCTATCTTATCACACTTGACAGACACACACACGCACATACGCACATAGGCCTCCCCTTCTCAAAGCTTATTTAATTCAATTTTTGCTCATTTTGCGCTGTACTTGTTGTTTATTTATTTTAATTCCTTAACTCCGAAATTATATATACAATATATATATTTTTTTATGTAAATATTGTTTCATTTTGCAAGCCTTAGAGATAAAATTATTTTCGTTTTTTTACCGTTACTAATCGCACTGCGCGTCGTTCCGTCCACCTGTTGCGTTTGCGGCCGATCGCGCGACTGAAAACGATAATAAAAAACCTTTTACAGGTGCACTTATCAGCGCTACCTATCGGCTGCACAGTGAACTAAATTGGCTAGTTATATTTATAGCATAGTTTGCTGCATTTATAGTTGTAGCACTGAGCGCGTGCAAGCGGCTAAACTATGCTTCCTCTGAATGCACTCTAGCGGCTGATTTTGGAACTAAATTAGTGCATTTTGTTTATAGCATACTTTGCTACGCTCAGTTGAGCTAAATGTGTAGAGTTGCTACCATACTTTTGGGTGGCGTATAATTATAACTAATGTTGTTGCCATAAGAAAATTGCTATACAAAAACCAAGTTTCATTTTTTCAGAGGTTTGTGTAGTTGCTATATGTCGTGTATGGCAATATGCAATCAGCTGCCTAAAAGTATGCTGTGAAATGGGCTGATGAAGTGACCATAAAAATTGGTTTGGGTATTTGCTTCTGATTATACTCTTTATTTTGAGTTATTTGGCTATGTTATGAAAATTGATACGACTTAAGGGGGCGATTGGGATGCAGCATGTTATAGTTGGTGAGTTTAGGTTCTTCTTCTTATTAAAGTCAATTACGTACAGTATCCTCACTCATCTAAAACGACAGCATTTAGTTGGCTGTCTCTTCCTCCTTCCCCACCCCACCACAGCTCACACTTTAAACAATAATAAATAATCATAAGTTGAAGCGTTTTACGAACAGCCAAAAACCATTTGACATTGGCCACAAGTGAGCTTCAAATTGTCCCCTTGGCCACGCCCACACACCCACCCACCTACACTACCAGGTCCGCTCAGCTCACCTGTTCAGCTGCTCACCTGTCCGCGCTCTCTTACGTTTTGGCCAACATGCTTTGGCCGTTGTTTCAAGCCCTGGCCAAGTGTTGAACGTGATTAATGAAATGGGCCACGGACGTGAGCGAGGGGGGCGCTGGGAGCTGTGGATGGGTGCTGGTTTTGCTGGCTTGTTTCGGGGTTAAATAGAGTTCAGGTCGAAAGTGTAGTTGATTTTGGTTTCTGAGCACCGCAACACTTGATTAATTTCGCTGCATGGCATATAATTAATTTGCTATTTACAGTGAAGCGAGGCAACACGGCACAGCAGAGCACAGTAGAGCAGAGCAGGGCACAGCACAGTCGGGGCTGAAGGTCCCCCCATCACCTTTAGAAGTCATTAGCTAAATTGTTGAGCATTTTTACGGCGACAGGTGTTGTCACGACGTGTGAGCCGGGTTTCTCGGCCCCAAAATATGCCACTGGTGGGGCCAAGCAACCACAGTGGGCCGATTTAAATTCATTGGAAAACAGAACCAGAACCGAAAATGGGCAACAGCAAAAACTTGAGCCAACAGCGGGCAGCAACAAGCGACGCAGTTAATTGACCACAAAAGTGCGATGCTTTGCCGCGCTGCTCGCGAAAATGTGGCTTAATGTGTATCGCGCCGGTCCATGGCCCAAAAAATCCCGAGGACGACTGTTCAATGTGACATTGAAATCCTTTCAGCGCCACGCACACCGGATATGACAATGGCGCACAAAGCAGAAAGTACTTTTCGGCTTGACAATAGTTGAGCGCGTCATTCCCCCAACAGCCCGCCACGCCCCTCCCTTGCTGAGTTGAGCTGAGCCGGTGCTGCTGCGCATCGTTAGCCACAGCTGCTGTTGCTGCCCAAACTATGCAAAACTCAATTGAGTAATGTTGGTCTTACTTCGGTCTGCCCCTCCCGCAGCTGCCCGGCGCGGCCTGCCACAGTTTGATCGAGGAACGTAACCATTTAATTAAAACAGGTCTTGTCTTAACCCAATTGCTGTTTCGGGCTGCGGCACAGTGCGAAGGATTTATGCTTAATAAGGTCAAGGATGCGCAGTTGGCAGCAGCAGATTTGAGGCTACTTAAAGTATTTGCTGAAAATGTTATAATTTATATTCCATATTGGCTTTTTATTGATTACAGTTTGAGGAGAAATTTAATTGAATAAGCTGCAAAATGAGTTGGTAAATATTTAAATATGTTTGCTTTTAGTTTCAAATTTTCGTTAAGAATTTTATTGTAAATACAGCTTAACTCAAATTTTGGTTGTTGTTTATAGGCAGGAGACTTACCTGTAGATTTGTATTACTTTTAGTTTTTAATATACAATATATTATATTT